ATCTCCGCCGCCGTACCCCCAATCAACCATGAATCCAGTTACTATCTCTATAGAGTTACCATCCTGGATTTCATATACCAAAACACACACATAAAACACAAAACAAAGAGTCAAAAAGGTTAGTAACACTAACAAAATAAAACATGGGAAAAAAAACCCTCAGTTGAAGAGAAAACTGAAAAAAAAATTAAAACAGCTTTAAAATGGATTAAAAGGGAGATCAAACGACATCACTGGACTAGTCAGAGAGAAAGCATTGGAAGTTTAATCTCTGTGTAGATACTGCAAATGGATGCTGGCCTTCCCTTGTCATCCACAGCCTTCTGCCAACCAGATGCTCTCAATTTATGCTCTGCTCCTGTTCCCTCCTTTGTATTTGGATTATATCATTTAGAATCCTTGGGTCACACATGGTGGCATGCTTCTTCCACATGGACTTAGTTGATGCCTCACTTACATGACTGCTTGTTTGAAGACAAGCTTTTAAGGCCCCAGATGCTATTCTTTATGATAGGTAGGCATCATCTATATCTGAAGCAATCTCTTCATGAGGGCATGTATCATGAGGGCCATATCATAAGAACTTATTGTTTTTAAATTGGAGTTAGAATTAAGTGGAAGATCCAAATCCATTTGTAGTAGTCTTGGTACTTTAGAGAAACAAATCCACAGAAATTCATGTATAAGAGAGAGTTTTATATAAAGGTTAAGTGCGCATCAAGAAAACATCCCAACCCAGTGCTGCCCAAGCTCACAAGTCCAACATTAACCCATTAACCCCTTTGTCCAACACCAATCCACAAAGTCCTCCTCCATCTCACAAAATGGATGCAATGATGCTGATTGCAGGAGGAAAGCTGAGTCAGTGAATGTGTAAGCATCTCAGCGCTGGCAAGGGTCTCCACACAGGTGCTCCAACACTCAGGGTTGCTTCAGGGCAGGTCCATGTGGCTTCTCCTCAGGGATGTCTTGCAGGAAGTGAGCCCCACCAACTAAAGCAGGGAACTGGCCAAGGCAGCCATACCCTGGTCCAACCTCAGAAAGCAAGAGACCTAAGAACTAGAAAGGCGAGGCTCACCGAGACGTTTATCCTTCTGCCCTTCAATTAACCCCACATGTGCTTATCAGCCAGGTTGGCACAATAAACTAACTAACTCACCATTTATATACTTATGGTCTATATATGCCTCTGGTTCACCTCAGAGTTATCATTGTCATTTTATGTTAGAAAACATTATCAATCATTTCACTGGAGAAAAAGTCATTCTGTTGATAGTGTCATTAATTTATCCTACAGTAAAGAATTTAAAACACAATTAAGAAAAGGAGATTATACAGTGTAGGCTGGTGATAAACCACAATAATGAATTACTGGCTTGTACAGATTAATCCTAAATCACTGGATACTGTTTACACAAGAAATGGGGGTTGATGATAAGGCAAAAAATGTAATAATATTACTTGAGAGTGGCAGAACCAGGCCTACAAGATTAATATATTTCTTAATAAAACAAGGAGGGCATTGAAGTGGTAAGTCCATGGTAGCCTGACTACCGTTAGTTCTGTACCCTTGGTAGAGCTGTCTTCTGCTTCTCACACCATGTGATTTCTGCCTTTATTCCAAGAGCGACAGGTCAGCTTGAGGTAGAGTCAAGTTCACTTAGTGGGGGTTTGTGTTAGTCTGGGTGGGCTAGAGAAACAAAGTCATAGACACTCATGTGTATAAGGAAGAGCTTTATACAAAAGGATAATTGTGTATTAAGAAAACATCCAAGTCCAGTCCAAATAAAGTCCATAAGTCTGATCTTAGCCCATATGTCTGACACCAGTCCTCTTCAGATTCACGCAACACATGCAATTATGGTGAGTGCAGGAAGATCATCGGCTAGTGGGTGGAGAGTCTTGTGGATCCAGTGGCAGTGGAAGCATCTTAGTGCTGGCGTGGGTCTCTACCTGGCTCCTCCAGCTCCAAGGTTCAGGTTGCCATCAGCATAGCTCTACATGGCTTGTTAACAGGAATGTCTTGCAGGGCAAAAGTGTGTGTCCCACCGCCGGGGAGGAAGATAAGAATTCCCAGAATCCTCAGGAGAAGGCCATGCCCATACAGAGGTCTCATTGGCTGTGACTTGATTGACAGGCTAGACTCCACCCCTTCACAAGTTAGCAGATTATGTAACTGCCACAGGTTTCTACATTGAGTCCTTCCAGTGTGGCCAATGAAGGATGCCGTGCACCTTGAAAACATAGGGTCTAAAATTCCATTAGTCTATAGCACATGACCTGAGTCACCAACTGCTTATTTGATTCTACATCTAATATGCCCAATCTAGTATCAAGTATAATCAAGGGACAATTTTAGTAAAAGTCACAACATACATACAATTTTATAACAATGTAATAACCATCAAAATATATGTGCTGGTTACATAGGTAGATATGTATGCTTATAAATGCATAGATAAGTACATATGAATATTTTAGTGCTCATGCAGAGGTGTTTCTGAAGGCCAATGTATATACATGTCTGTGTGTTTCAGATATATTCATATCTAAAATAAAGCATATAGGGGGCACTTTAATGAATGATTCCTAGACATAATCAATCATTTAGGCTGCTGGATTTGAGGGTTTAGGAACATAGTATCAGGGTCAACTCCACCTGTTTGCACAATATAGCTCATAAAGATAATGTTTTACATCCTAGTTTGATGAATAGCATCTGGGATGTTAGAAGCTTACAAACTAAAATACAACTACTGGTCTCTAAACATTGGGAGCAAAATAATGAAAACCAAAGACTCAAGAAAGAAATTATTCTACAGGATGAATTGTTTACATGAATTACAACCTACATTGAGGCCAGAAGAAGTAGGTGGTCCTCACAACCACTACCAACTATTCAAACAAAGAACACAGCAGACAATCCTAGAGAGAATGGGAGCGGGGTGGGGTGGGGTTGAGGTGGATGTAGAAAGCCCCTCAAATTCCTAAAAGAAGACTAAACTTATCAGGCTTGTAAAGACTAGAGGAACCCCTGAGATTGTCACCTTGCACTTGTTCCTCTGCCAGAGCCCAATGATGCAGCTGCTGTGTCAGTTCTTCTTGTCAAGAGACTTTCCTTCCTTCCCTGGCCCTCCCCTTTACCAAACACGATGTCCATCTCCAGGGATTGGTCTCTCCTGACAACATGTCCAAATGATGCCTCCTTACCTTGAAGGAGCGCTTTGGCCTTCCTTCTTCCAACACAGATTTGTTTGTCTTTATAACCGTCCATAGTACTTTCAACCTCCTTCTGCACCTCAATTCAGATGCATCTATTCCATGGTCTTCCTTATTCAATGTCCAACTTCAGCATGCATATGAGACACTAGAGAATACAACAGCTTGGGTCAAGTGTACATTAGTCCTCAAAGTAACATCTTGGCTGTTCAATACTCTTACGAAGTCTTGTGCTTCAGATTTACCTAATGCAATTCATTGTTTGATCTCTTGATTGCTACTTCCATGAGCATTGATTGTAGATACAAGCAAAACAAAACCCTTGACAACTTCAACTGTTTCTCCATCTATTAGTCCAGTTGTGAGGATTTTGGTCTTCTTTACATTAAGTTATAATCCACACAGAAGGCTATCATTCTTGATCTTCCTCAGCAAGGGCTTCAATTCCTTCTCACTTTCAGCAATAAAAGGTGTGCCATCTGCATATTATAGGTTGTTAATAAGCCCTACTCCAATCCTGATGCCACATTCTTCTTCATATAACCCAGTTTCTCTGATGATTTGCTCAGCACACAGATTGAACAATCATGTTGAATGGATACAACTCTGATGCACACCTTTCCTGATTTTAAACCATTGGGAGAAATATGTATGTGTGTGTGTGTGTGTAGTTATATGTATGTGTGTGTGTGTGTGTGTGTGTGTGTGTAGTGTAAAAGGTACTTACTATTAACTAGTATCCTTGATAGGCTTTCTGGGTTCAGCAGATGTGAACTCATGTAAGACAATTCTACTGAGGTATTATTCATTAGGACTTGTTTTCATTGTTACTCTAGCCTAATGTTTCATTCAAAGGATGAAATTAGTTTTCCATGCACATTTTCTGGCTATTTATTATTTGCTCCTTTTTAAAGTTACATGATTTAGTCACATTGTTTTCATTTGCTCTTCTTAAATCTGGTTTGTACGCTTATTTGTTTTTTGAATGAAAAAAAAAAGGCAGAAAATATTTTACTCCTGGTTTCCTATAATAAAATTCCATTTCCAGTATTCATTTGCAAACATGTCTATTGTGATAGCTTTCAAGTGATTCCCTCTTTTATTTTTAAACCAGAAGAAAAATTTATTGAAATTCTCTAAGTTATATGGCAATTCGATCAGCTGCTGCACCCCATTTAAGTCTGTTCAGCAATGGTCATGACTTGCATCATTAACTTCTGTCTTCTCATCTATTATAAATGGTGATTGATGAGTAAGTTTTATAATTACAGATATGATGATAGTCCATCCAATCTACACATTAATTAGGTACTCTTCAGTCTTTCAAAAGATAGAATAATTTTCTCTATCAAATAATTACCTATACTATTCAGTTTCTAGAATCTTTGGGAAGTTTTATTTTAATCCTACCCTTTTAAAAATCATCACTTTTAATTATTTGTACAGTTTTTCATGATGGGCCAAAACAATTGATTCTCTTGTTTCTTTGGCAATTAAGAAAACAGTACAGTAAGTAAGGAATAGCAACAAGTCAGATTCTTAGGTTGATTCAGTCAATTGACTTAATTGTTTGGTTTCAATGTAAATGTGTGCACACATATAAACTGAATCTACTGCCCTCATGCTGATTTCACCATTTAAGGACTCTATATAGGGTTTCCAAGACTGGTCATAGCACTGGAGCAGACAACCTCATCTTTCTTCTGAGGAGCAGCTGGTGGGTTTGAACCGCTGACCTTATAGCTAGCAGCCCAACAAATACTTTTTTTTTTTTTTTTCGATTTGAATCTTTTAATACCTAATGTTATTGCTTTAGGAAACACCCCCCTCCCAACACCTTACAACCAAGAATGGGACACTAATTACATAAAAATATACATGTATAAAAAGTAGTTCTCCATTTTCCTGGAAAAAAATAATCCTAGGATAACTTGTAGAATATTCAAGTGGTGGGGATTTTGTTGTCGTTTTGGTTTTGTTTTGAATTACAATTAAATTCTTGGTCATCTCAGTATTAGCTCTGTAATACACTTAAATTAAAGGAACATTAATTGACAACCGTTAACAATTTATAAATGCCAGGGGCAGTTATTCAATAAATCGATTCCTCTGTGGGTGGCTGTGTCCCTTCGGCCACCCACTACTGAAGCAGCAGTATATACATGTGTTTAATGATATTAGGAGGTGCTGCCAACCCTAAAATGCACCCACCCACATTCGGACTGATGGTGTGGGTCAGTGTGGACTGTGCTCAGCAGCACGAGGCGCTGGGCTTGGGCTTCCGGTGCAGGTTGACCATGTCTGTCTGAATCAAATGATCTGACCCATCCTCCGTGGCCAGGACTCTTCGCACAGCCTCCTCAAAGGCAGCGGCGACATTGGTGGCATCTTTTGCACTGGTTTCAAAGTAAGGATGGTCGCCGTTGTCCCTGCACCAGGCTTGCGCTTCTTCGGCAGACACTTGCCGCTCGCAGATGTCGATCTTGTTACCCAGAACGACAAAAGGAAAGCTTTCTGGCTCTTTCACGTCAGCGTAATAGAGGAACTCTTTCTTCCAGTTGCTCAAATTCTGGAAACTTTGCGAATCGTCAACGCTAAAAGTGAGTAGGCAGCAGTCTGAACCTCGGTAGAACGGCGTCCTCAGGCTCCTGAAGCGCTCCTGCCCGGCCGTGTCCCAAATCTGCATGGTGACAAAATGGCCGTCCACCTCCAGATCTTTATTTAAAAACTCCACACCTATGGTGTGGAAGAGCTGAATATCGAACTTATTGGTGACATATCTGTTCATGAGTGAGCTTTTCCCAACGCCGCCGTCTCCAAGGAGAATGACTTTAAAAAGCGAGGATCGGCCTGCCATTGTTTATCTCTGACTTCAGAACTCTCGCAGCCACGCGGAGGACGCGGCAGGAGCCCCGAACAGGCCGGTCCGGGCGCACTAGGAGAGGAGAGGTCACGGGCAGGGTGGGTACGACGCGATGGCGACAGCCGGAGTGCTGGGCTCCACAAATACTTAACTCACAGCACTACTTGGGCTCCATATGTAAACATTGATAGATAGAAAAAGAATGTAATATTAATAGGTATGGATTAAATTTCATAAAAGCAATTTTCAGAAATGTGACATCATGAGTTTTTACAGAACATGATCAGAACTTAGGGCTTAAAACACTGGTGTTTGTGTAAGAAAAGTAATATATTTTGAAACTAAGAATTTTAGGATCAATGAATATAATTTTTCTTATTTTACTAATAAGACATTAAGCTTATGATAACCATGCTAGCTGAAATAAATCATAGTAAAAAACCACTTTTGTAAACAGTTTGGCAAATATCATTAATATTATTGTATATGATAGTTACCTATGAAAATTATTTTAAATATACAACTATTTGGAGAAAAAAATAGCTGTACGCTATCAATGAAAATATAGGAAATATTCGTTTAAAGGTAACTTTTTCTACTACTTTTTGTTCTAAAGCAAATGAAGTCAGGACAAAGTGATGAAAAATTATGAAAGCTTCAGTATTTTCCTCATTAACCACTGAAATGATAGCTGATGTTAAGGAGAAAAATGATTAGTCTTTTAACAAAAATAAGTTATTTAGTATATAACAATTAAGCATATTATGTGCTTATTTGTAGGAATTCATGTACAATTATCTGAGTTTATAATTTGAGTTAGACCCTAACATTAAAATTCATCTACTCAGCTAAGATCCCTTAATAATTGCCAGAAGAAATCATCATTTACTGTCTACCTACCAAGTGTAAAGCTCATATAAGTACTATTGCAAAAAAAGAAAGAAAGAAAGAAAGAAATTCTAAGCATTGTCCCTACCATCTCAGGGTCTCATCATAAAACTAAAAACTAAAAAATTGAACCCAATGCCCTCAAGTCTGTTCTTGCAGATAAGGAACTTCAAAACTCAAAAAACTGTCATTGATTCTAACTCATAGCAACCCTATGAGACAGAGTGGATCTGCTCCTGTGAGTTTCCAAGCCTCACTCTTTACAGGTAGAAAAACTTCATCTTTCACCTACGGAATAACTGGTAGTTTTGGACTGTCGATTTTGTGGCTAGCAACCTAAAGCCTAACTAACCCACGACTGCACCAGACTCTAGGGTGAAACTGTACCACGGAGTGTCAGAGGCCATGCAGTTTACACAAGTGGATTGTTCCATTTTCTCCTGCAGCGCACAGGATAGGTTTGAAAAGAAACCTTTCCATTAGCAGTTGAACACTTAATAACTACAGGACTGTGTGCTTAATAGTGAGTAAATAATAATAATGTAAATGAATGAAATATCAAGCCTGAGTGGTTAGCATTACAGGTAAGCTGGTTAGAGAAAGTATTTTGATGATTGATAGGTTAATGTTTGGTGGTGTGTTTATGCCTTGTGTTAGAGCCATTAAGTTCATTCCCATTTTCTCATTGATGACTTTCATAGTTCCAGGGCTTCTACTTAGGTCTTCAATCCAACTTGAGTTCATTTTTTGTATACTGTAGGAATTATAGATCCTGTTTCTTCTTTTTTTGAAAATGGACATACAATTTTTCCAGCCCCGTTTGTTGAAAACACTATTTCTTCCCAATTTAGTGTATTTCAGTCATATATATATCAGGTGTTTGTACGTGTTTGATTTTATTTCTGAGTTACTGATTGGTCTATATATCTGTAGTTGTAGCAGCTCCAACCTGTTTTGACTCTTGTGGTTACATGTAAAATCAGAGAGTAAGAGGTCGCCTATTTTTTGAATAGTTCTATTTTTGCATATACTATACATATCATTCAATTCAATCATTCGATTGCAATTAGAAGAGCTATGCAATCATCACTACAACTCAATTCCAGAACAGCCCTTCTTGTACTCATTGTTGTTAGTTGCCCATCCCCTACATCCTCCTCTGCCATGTCCCTAGGCAACTATTAATCTAGTTACTGTCTATAGCAATATACCTCTCCAGGATTTCATATACAGAAATAATAAAACACAAACAAAAAGCAAAAGCAAACAACAAAAAATCTCCAACATCGATTAGACAAAACATAAAAATGGCAATAGAAAATAAAGCAGAAAATATTAACTGAAACAACTTTAACACGGGTCAAAGGGGAGATCAAATAATAAGGTCCTACCTTTTAGCCTTACTAAATCTGCCATAAATGACTTTACATTGTCCTCTGTCTGATAGCAAGGCTACTCACATTCCTGGACTGTGGTCAGAGGGAATTTACCTGAGGTATAATCCATGTGGGGACATTCCACTGTCATCTATAACTTTCTGAAAACTGGTGTTCACATTGTAAGCTCTGATACCATTCCTTTCTTTGGATTTGGATTTTATTATTTACAATCCTTGGATCATCCAGGTTGGTGTGCTTCTTCCACGTGGGCTTAGTTGATGCTTCACTTAGATGGCTGCTCTTTTTTGAAGACAGGTTTTTAAGACCCCAGATGGTATTCTTTCCTATAGCCAGGCACCATCTGATTTCTTCACCACACTTTACTATAGCACCCTTATCTTCAATGCTTTCTTGAAAAGGGCAAGTGTTGAGTAGGGCCATGTCATAGTAGGTAATTGTTCTTACATTGGGACTAGAACTAAATATGAGCTAAAAATTCATTCATGTACCTACAGTTTATTAGTGTGTCTGGTTCACTTTAAATACGTACATCATTATCATTTTATGATAGAGAACATTATCAATAATCTCCCTGAGTCATAAAGTAATTCTATCGATAGTGTCATATCCAATAGTATAGAATTTGAAATACTGCTGAGAAAAGGAAGTTATACCAGTGTAAGCCTGTTTCTGACCACAACACGCGGAATGTTGATTTGTACAGATTAACCTCTTAAGTGACTAGATACTATTTACATGAACAACAGGTGGTGATGGTAATGAAAAACTTTCAATAACTCTCACTCATAAAGGCAGAACTATGCTTATCAGACTAATAAATGTCATGAGACAGCAAGCAGGACCTTTAAAAACTAATTGTATGGTAGCCCTGATGGTATGGTTGTTATATGTGGCCTGTGAGCCACAAGCCAGCAATTCCAAACCACCAGTCTCTCTGAAGGAGAAAGATGGGGCTGTAAAGAGTTACAGTCTCAGAAACTCACAGGAGCAGTTCTGCCCCGCCCCGTGGGTTCTATGAATTGACATCACTCGATGGCAGTGAGTTTTGGTTGGGCCACTATTCATTGGGCATCTTCAAAGCAACAGAGTCAGACCCAAGTTCTATAATCACCAATTCCATAACCTTGAGATAGCAGGTATCTGCTTCTTCTCACACTAGGGTGTTCCAGGTTTAAGTCCAAGGGAGTATGTTGGTTCCTGAAATCTGCTATGAGTTTGAGGTTTAGCTCAGTTCACTTAGTGGGGTTTCCACATCAAATCCTTCTGGTATGGCCCATAAAGGGTGTTACACATTTCAACAGGACACAGTCACCAATGGCGGCATAGAAACTAGATTAAAAACATCCAATTAAGAATGTAGTACTGGGCATAGTCTCTCCTTGGAATCTATATAAGTATCATTAAATGTTTTTCCCTGATGGAAGGCTACTTCACCCAATTTACCCACCAACAGAAATTCAACCTCCTTCTCTGAGACATACATGGCCCCTCCACCTCTATCTTGACTTGAATTTCCAGTACGGTTCGCTTTTCACTCTCATAGAAGTGCATGTTGATTTGGGGTGACCTAAGCACAATGTTGTATGGTAGTAACTGAATGCTCTCCTCTTTCTTCCTCACCATCTTGAGAAACTGACTCCAACTGAAGTGGTTTAATCTCTGGTGATGCACATATAAAAAGTACATTGTTCATGGGCACTAGGTGGGCGCTCAGCCTTGTGGCTTGGGAATCAGATTAGAAGATGACGTGACCAGAGAGCAGAAGCCAGCCTTTATCTTGGTGTTTATCCTTATAGGAGTGTACTCATATAATATTTGCTCTTTTGTGATTGACTAACTTCACTCAACATAATGAGTCCCAAGTTCATTCATGCTATGAGATGTTTCACTGTTCCACTGATGTTTTACAGGGTTCATAGTATTCCCTTTGTGTATGTACCAGAGTTTCTTTATTCATTCTTCTACAGATGGGCATCTGGGCCATTTCCAGATGCTTGCTATTGCTATTTTGAACTGTGCTATAAGAATATGGGAGACATATATCTGTTTGTATTCTGTTTCATTGCTTTAAGAAATATGCCCAGCAAAGGTATTATTGGTCTGTATGATAATTCTATTGTCAGTTGTTTGAGATATCACCATACTCCTTTTCACAATGGTTGTACATACTGTATTTACAAACCCATCAGCAGTGTATAGGAGTTCTAATCTCTCCTCATCCTCTCCAGTTTTTCTGTTCTCAGGCTTTTTTATTTTTTATTTTCTTATCTTTGTAGGCATATGGCAGTATTTCACTGTCATTTTATTTCCTGGGTCGCTAGTAACTGTGTTTTAACATGTGTTTGCTAGCCATTCAAATGTCATCCTTTGCCCACCTTTCAATTGAATGACTTTCTTCTTCTTATTATTATTAGAGTGTTGTAGAACTCTATAGATTTTAGTAATTAGTCCCCTGTCCATTGTGACATTGTTAAAAACTTTTTCCCCCCAAGCCACATACTTTTGGGTTACTAGTTTGATGCAGACTTTTGATGTGCATAAGGTTTTTATTTTTATTCTTAACAGTTTTATTAGCAGATAATTCATATATCATACAATTCAATAGTTCAATCATCAAGTGTTGTATAATCATCACCACAATCAGTTTTAGAACATTTTCTTCATACTTGTACTCAGTTTATTAGCTCCTTATTTCCCCTCAGTATCTCCTGCCATGCACCTAAAGAATCATTAACCTAACTACATCTCTCTGATAATAAGGCTACTCATATCCCTCAAGGAGATTCACATCAGATGGGG